CAACGCGACGTCGAAATGGGAGGTCACACGACAAGCGGTGAAATTTTAAAAACAATCTATTATACTATTTTTTTTGTAGACAAAGTATCTACAGACAATGGGAGTTCCCGGGGTAAAGGGTGCACCCCAAACATTGTACCCTGAAGAGGTTTGAGATTGTTTTTTCTTTGCAACATGACATTTTAGGTATTCTACTTGTACGAAATTGGATCGGCGATCGTGAAAGAAAAAGAAGGAAGACAATTAATTGGAACAGAGGTATAACAATATTGAGATAGCAATAAAAAAAGTTGTGTCAGGTTTTGGCACTAGCTCTGCGAGCAATCTCCTTTTCTTGTTTGATGACGTATCGGGAAATGCGACGAGCCGGATTTGTTGTTGTTCGGAAAAGGTTTGTTATTTTATACAAGTCTCGATGTTTATGCTTGCTTTCAGCAATAGTTTAATTATAATTTATATTTTTAGGTTGCATCCTACAGAACCGGTTGCACAGACGCAAGCGACACCATCGATAAGTTACTTTGACGAGAAAGCCAATAAGCCTTCGACATCCGAGCCCACCATCAATATTTTAGCTGAAACAAAGAAGTACGGTTTGAAAGTGCCTTTCACAACACATGTTATATGAGAATTTTTACTTTGATTTTACGCAAGCAAATTTTAACTTTACATTCAGATCGCCTTCAGAACCTGCAAATGCCTCCTTGTCTCTGAAGCCTTTTTCATCGACAGTGCTTGATATGTTTCCGACGCTTGAAAATGGCAAAATGAAGTCGGTATTATCTAAGAGTACAACTTTTTATTACGACGGTGACTGATGTTCAACTTTTAGAATGATTCACCTGGCGATGGATCAAAATTTATCACCAATACATGAGCCTATTTCATCTAGAATAGTCTCACCGAATGTAATACGGCTAACTCAAGATGTGAGTTGTTAAATTTTGATGTTACTTGAATATTTTTATGTGGAACGACCGAAGATGATGAAACGTCTCTCGACACCTTTAGCGCCGAGGTTTTGGCCAAACTTGGAGGAGGTAATTGTTAATAATTTAAATAACAATTCAATATTTTGTTAAGCTCGCGACTACAGCTTCAACATGGAGTGAATATCGCGAAAAATTCAAAAAAACAATGGAGATGAACGAACAACGGGCATTTAATAGGTATTTTTATTTACCCGTATGAATACAAACTTGAAAACTTTAAATGGCGCTTACAATGACAAGTTTATGCGATCTAGTTAACTATACCGCACGATAACATTGTTTGGCATGTAAATTTGTTAGTATTCACGTTTAAATGCCCTTTTTTAGATTCAACTCTTTCAAGAGTCCATTTCAAATGTCAAGAGGAGGACCGGCACATCGACGTGGCTTCTCTCGATCTCCATTACATGCAAACACATCCTACACACCACGGCCATTTCAACGAACGCCACTGATGCCAAAAGTAAAACAGCAAATGGGAGTGGAGTACGACATTTACAAGGCGGGCACATTTATGCACACGGTTGTGACGCCTCCATTTATGCGAATGACTGTACTTGAGTAAGTCGTTTTATTAGTTTTTGAAGCTAAGCTATTGAAGTACGCAATAAACTAATGACAAGAATGTGCCGTAGAAATTTAAGTTAGCCGTAGAAAATGAGATAAACAAAATGTAGATATTTTTTCAGATCAAGTTGTGGGAACGTGCTATCGAGTGCCAATCCGGATCCAACGATTCGCTCGATTTTCGCCATGGTTTCAGCCGACTCCGTCATCACCTACATTGAACACTCGAACAATCCAATAACACTCCAAGAGATGAAAAAGTTTGTTCAGTAGATAGTCGTTCGTGTTCATTTTCACCTGTAATTTCGGCTTTCTTTGTCGTGATAATTTGTTACCGTTTTTTAACTGTCTTTGTACAAAAATAAATATTTATCAGTCTATTATGCACTAGATTGCTGGCTGGTGAGGGGCGTGTTCACGAATTTCATGGTCGCGTTGATTTGCCAAGTGCCCAGAAATGAAGATTACGATCATAATGAGCAGGAAGATCATAAAAGTATATTCAATCCATTTGGTGATAAAATTCAGAGAGTGATGTACTGAAATTTTAACGGCTTTAAAAACTATCTTGGAAAACGTTAAAGACCATTTTAAATGTTTTAAACCTTACATTTTTGAGACCAGTGCTGCGGAATGGAACCTTGTGTTGTTGGGATGTCGACTCGAGCTGTGGAATACTGCAATTGGTCAAAATTTTAGTATTTTAATTAGAAATTTGCATTACCAATTGCGTTGAGTGAACATTTGTGCCACCATTTTGATCAGAATTCACGAGATCATTTATTTCTTTGGCTTAAATTCTTGCATATGAGTAAATTTTCAAGATCTCCCAAATCACATACCTGGATAGAAAGTGAATGACGGTAATAATACCAGTAACGGGAACAATACCAGTAATAAAAAACTTCCTGAAATCATAGAGCTCAGAAATGATTCAGAGTAATCGGAGAGGTTTACGAAATAGACAAGAATTTCCCTTTGTTATCGGCGTAAGTGAGTAAAATTTATCAATCCCCCCCATTTCAAAAAGAAAAAGACACACAGAAATCATATGTTGAGAAAGGAAAAGGTTCTTAAAAGTTGTCACGTGATTAAGCTCTGCTCCAGAGATTGCCGTTTTGGAAGTGCGGAGTCTGACCCAGGGTATTGAAAGTGCAAAATGAATCACCCAAATTGAAAGGTCAACAAAAAAACCCTCATGAAAAGCTCAACAATCAGTCAGTCAATCAGTATTTTAATCGTACGGTAGACTCTTGAAATGCTTTGCGATTTCAAACTTGTTACTGTAACTTTTGAGATGACTGCAACAATTACTGGTTACTGTGACTGTCACAAAGCACTCACACTTAAACGAACAAAAGCTTTATATCTGATGCTATAATATAAACTCTCCACGTTTTTCATTTTCATTTTTGGTTGTCGATTTGGGAATTTAATATTGAAAAGCTCTTGTCTGCTCCATTTTGATATGCAAATTTCAAAATCAAACTTTTTCACTTATTGTTAGCATGTTCATCAATGTGATTAACGATGGTAGAGATTGGACAATGATGGTAGGGATTGGACAATGATGGTAGGGATTGGACAATGATGGTAGGGATTGGACAACGATGGTAGGGATTGGACAATGATGGTAAGGATTGGATAACGATGGTAGGGATTGGACAACGATGGTAAGGATTGGACAACGATGGTAGGGATTGGACAACGATGGTAGGGATTGGACAACGATGGTAGGGATTGGACAATGATGGTAGAGATTGGACAATGATGGTAGGGATTGGACAACGATGGTAAGGATTGGACAACGATGGTAGGGATTAAAATTCAAGAACTTATCTGCCTGGGGCAGATTCGCGGCTTTCAAAGAGTATATAATTAGATTCAACGTTGTACAAGCGTTTTGTTTAGGTTTTAAGTTTTAAGAAAACTTAGTAGACTTTCGAATTTGCAAAATCTCCTCCCTCACTACAAACAAATCAATGCGTTCTTGCCATCCCGTCTCGACCTTTCACCCATTTCCATTTTAAAGCCTCTCTTTTCTTTTCTTTTCCTTCTTCCGTCTAGTCATGCCATTTTATCAGTGAAAATTATGTGATCAATGACACATTTCTAAAAAGAGAACCCTCAATCACTAAAGCTCTTTGAGCACTTTGAGCACAAATCACTAGAACTTTCTCCTTGAAATATCAAAGAACCTCTATCAAGAAGAAAACTAACTTTTGGATGCTGTGTGAGTGCTCCTTTGATCTCAGCTGTGCTCAACAAATGTCCGCTAACATTCATCAAATCGTGAACACTAGAAAACTCAAGTTTCAGTCTAAACTAGAGAATTAGCATTAAACAGACAGTATTTTAGAAACCGCCTTTGGACTTATCAGCAATCGCAAAGCAATCAGCGGACTTACCAGTCCACAAATCCAAGAAAGTCCAAGAGTTCTGCCAAAACAACTCCCCAGACTTCATTTCTTTTTCTGAGTTAGCTCTTTAGATCTTAACCCAATGGATTTTTCAGTGTTGTCGGTTTTCTAGAAGTCAAAGCTTGTTAGCTTGTTCAAAGCCCCACAAAAACATTGAAAGCTTGAAGAAATCACTGTTGAAAGTGTGGGAAGAGCTCGATGCAACCTATTTGATCGCCACCGTTGACGCCTTCTCGAAACGCCTGCGAGCCTGCTCAAATGCAAATGGTTTCAAATTTGATAGTTCATTTATAATTGTTAATGTACAATAAATGTTATTTCAATAAATTATTCAGTTAGAAATTTGTCCTTTTGCTGTTGTTTGCCTTAAAATCAGAACTTTATCTTGTTACGACAATTATTTCGCACTCTGTACACCATGAAAGAATTTGGCAAACTCAGTGATGTTTGTACTAGGATTGGAAACAATTTTAGTACTGTCTAAGGGAAACGAAAGAATTGGAAAGCATCTTTAGTTTTAGAGTTGAAATAGAAGAAGAAAGACTTGCTGTTTTTCGAATAAACAGCTTTTAATGTCTTTTATAGAATAGATCGAATCGCTGTTGATCTTAAGAATCTGCGTTGGCAAGTTTCCAGAAATGCTCTTGATTCACTAAAAACTTTCGCAAGTGTTTTGAAATTCACAGAATTCCTTTCTCAAGTAAAACACTTATCTAGACGATGACAAATTGTTAACGGTAATAACGGTAATAATGTTGACGGTAAAAGGACAACGAAATGTGTTCAAGAGTACATATGATAAGCTTAGAATCATTTGAGCAGAACTTTTCTTTGAGCCGAAGGGATTAAATGAATTGCTAAGGCCAAATTTCATCATTTAAATTTATGAATCAAGCAAAAACTTCAAACAAACACTTCTTTTTGTTTAAATCGAACTTTATCTAGAACTGCCGAAATTTCGTTCCTTCGTCTTTTCCAACAGCAGACATTGAATGATTTGAGACTCCCAGTCAAAGCAAAAATGATGACGCCAATGATGACGTCAATAATGGCTGCAATGAGCTTATTTAAGGTAATCCATTTTCTCAAGAATAGTCGACATTTATCTTGTTATGTTTTTTATGAACTGAATACTTTTGAGCTACCTAAATACTATTTTTAATTTAGGGAAAGTACTTGTACAAAGCGATGATGCCGAATTCGCCATGGGGAGAACACGAGATGGATTATGTGCTCATCCTTCGTAACTTCGATCTGTCACGGATAGAAGTAAACGCGGAGGAAGTTGAAAATTATGCAGGTTTGTACCCAATTTTATGGTTGTAACGCACCATAACTACAAAGTTGGTGGAAGCTAACCGCAGTTAAATTGTTTTGTAAGAGTAACGTAGTATTTGGCTAAATATGGATAGTCCTTTATTTGGAGAATATAATTTATCAGAATTATACCACTACATATACATTGCTTTAGTTGTATCGTTGGAAGAGTTGAAGAAACGCCTGGCGAATCCAAACTGCAACTTCACGCCTTGGTTTCGTCTCTTCGAAAATCTAGGACATCTCGAAAAATGGTGGAGAAACATTGAAAAGCTGGAAGAAGATAACGAAGAATTAATTATTCGGATGTAAATATTCATTGATTTGATTTGTTTGCTTTAGCAGTTTCTTTTTCTATGATATTTAGTATTGCTTTAATTTTAAAGAAGCTTTAATCGGGTTTTGTCATTTTTCCATGTACAGGTTGCGCGTGACTTGGTCTTTTGTTGAATACATTCCTTTATCAATAAAGTTGATTCCATAATTGTTTGCCACAGATCTAAACGTTCGTTAAAAGACATTTATGTATTTCAAGCTAACTTTGGAGTGGTTAAAGTTTAATGTGTTAATCAATGTCCATTTTAATCAACGCTATTATACTATTTTTTTTGTAGACAAAGTATCTACAGACAATGGGAGTTCCCGGGGTAAAGGGTGCACCCCAAACATTGTACCCTGAAGAGGTTTGAGATTGTTTTTTCTTTGCAACATGCCATTTTAGGTATTCTACTTGTACGAAATTGGATCAGCGATCGTAAAAGAAAAAGAAGGAGGACAATTAATTGGAACAGAGGTATAACAATATTGAGATAGTAATAACAAAAGTTGTGTCAGGTTTTGGCACTAGCTCTACGAGCAATCTCCTTTTCTTGTTTGATGACGTATCGGGAAATGCGACGAGCCGGATTTGTTGTTGTTCGGAAAAGGTTTGTTATTTTATACAAGTCTCGATGTTTATGCTTGCTTTCAGCAATAGTTTAATTATAATTTATATTTTTAGGTTGCATCCTACAGAACCGGTTGCACAGACGCAAGCGACACCATCGATAAGTTACTTTGACGAGAAAGCCAATAAGCCTTCGACATCCGAGCCCACCATCAATATTTTAGCTGAAACAAAGAAGTACGGTTTGAAAGTGCCTTTCACAACACATGTTATATGAGAATTTTTACTTTGATTTTACGCAAGCAAATTTTAACTTTACATTCAGATCGCCTTCAGAACCTGCAAATGCCTCCTTGTCTCTGAAGCCTTTTTCATCGACAGTGCTTGATATGTTTCCGACGCTTGAAAATGGCAAAATGAAGTCGGTATTATCTAAGAGTACAACTTTTTATTACAACCGTGACTGATGTTCAACTTTTAGAATGATTCACCTGGCGATGGATCAAAATTTATCACCAATACATGAGCCTATTTCATCTAGAATAATCTCACCGAATGTAATACGGCTAGCTCAAGATGTAAGTTGCTAAATTTTGACGTTACTTGAATATTTTTATGTGGAACGACCGAAGATGATGAAACGTCTCTCGACACCTTTAGCGCCGAGGTTTTGGCCAAACTTGGAGGAGGTAATTGTTAATAATTTAAATAACAATTCAATATTTTGTTAAGCTCGCGACTACAGCTTCAACATGGAGTGAATATCGCGAAAAATTCAAGAAAACAATGGAGATGAACGAACAACGGGCATTTAATAGGTATTTTTTTTATTTACCCGTATGAATACAAACTTGAAAACTTTAAATGGCGCTTACAATGATAAGTTTATGCGATCTAGTTAACTATACCACGCGATAACATTGTTTGGCATGTAAATTTGTTAGTATTCACGTTTAAATGCCCTTTTTTAGATTCAACTCTTTCAAGAGTCCATTTCAAATGTCAAGAGGAGGACCGGCACCTCGACGTGGTTTCTCTCGATCTCCATTTCATGCAAACACATCCTACACACCACGGCCATTTCAACGAACGCCACTGATGCCAAAAGTAAAACAGCAAATGGGAGTGGAGTACGACATTTACAAGGCGGGCACATTTATGCACACAGTTGTGACGACTCCATTTATGCGAATGACTGTACTTGAGTAAGTGGTTTTATTAGTTTTTGAAGCTAAACTATTGAAGTGCGCAATAAACTAATTGCAAGAATGTTTAGCTGTAGAAAATGAGATAAACAAAATGTAGATATTTTTTCAGATCAAGTTGTGGGAACGTGCTATCAAGTGCCAATCCGGATCCAAAGGTTCGCTCGATTTTCGCCATGGTTTCAGCCGACTCTGTCATCACCTACATTGAACACTCGAACAATCCGATAACACTTCAAGAGATGAAAAAGTTTGTTCAGTAAATAGTCATTCGTGTTCATTTTCATCTGTAATTCCGGTTCTTTGTCCTGATAATTTTTTGCCGGTTTTTAACTGTCTTTGTACAAAAATAAATATTTATCAGTCTATTATGCACTAGATTGCTGGCTGATGAGGGGCGTGTTCAGGAATTTCATGGTTGTGTTGTTTTGCCAAGTGCCAAGAAATGAAGATTACGATCATAATGAATAGGAAGATCGGAAAAGTATAATTAATCCATTCAGTCATAAAATTCAAAGAGTGATGTACTGAAATTTTATCGGCTTTAAAGACCATTTTACATTTTTTTAAACTTACATTTTTGAGACCGGTGCTGCGGAATGCAACCTCGTGTTGTTGGGATGTCGACTCGAGCTGTGGAATACTGCAATTGGCCCAAATTCTAGTATTTCAATTAGAAATTTGCATTACCAATTGCGTTGTGTAAACATTTGTGACACCATTTTCAATGATCAACCAATACGATTGAAGTACGTCCAGGATTTGATCTAAAATAGTGAAATTAGTTACAGGTCCAACTAGGGAAAGGTCCGATTTCGATGAGATCAATCCGAACCAAAGTTATATTACTTACGCAAGTTACGGGCAAAAGAATGTAATCGAAGCAAAGACTACGAGCTAAAGAAAAAAAACTATTCAAAATACAACTTTCGTGGTGTATCAGAATACAAAACACGATCGTGTTGCTCGCGGCTGACTTGTGTAAATCATAAAGCTTTGGCTCGAATTGCGAAATCTCACTGTTCCCTAGTAAGAGTAAAGAAATCGACTTATAAAGTAAATTCAAGTTTATCGAAATCGTTTTTTGAAATCGTTTCCTGGATGGCTACTGTTTCTTATTGATTTTGATAATAAAATTTAGAGATAGTTGAAGAAAAATTAGATGAAAAAGAAAACGAACGATGTCCGGCAGATGTTTCATTTGGATGATCACTCGCTTGTTGAGTTGAATGAACTGAAAACGTTGTTTAGATAGAGCGCGTACAATTTACAATTTTATTTTCTGATCTCATTGCTCTCAAAAATCTTAGCTACCATACTCTTTCAAAGCTTTGAAAAAAGCACATTTTAGAAAGTACATTAATTTGAGAGTATTGGCAGAGTAGTCTCACCTCCGAATACGTAAGTTGAGCACAATAAAATAAAGAAGATTTGTTTCATTTTCTGAATCGATTGATTAGATTTAAAAAATAATATTAGCGTGCAAAAATCTGTGAAAAAATAATCGGAAAAAAACAGTTTGTGAAGGCGAGGACTTGTCTGGTGTGATAACAAACAATTGGCTTTTAAGTGACTGACCGTGCCATCCGGTGACCTCATTTACATCGACAACTCATACCTTATTGTTTTTAGTTGAACACTTGTAAAACTTGTAAAAACTTTAGTTTTAACATCATAAAAGCGTGTTGATGGAAAAGGAAGTTAGGGAATAAACGTAGGTAGGCTGGGTTGGTGATGGAAAAAAAAGTTAAGCACGCAATGCCAGCAAATTTCCATATCTCCAGCACTCACCCACTGGACTGACCAATCCCACAATAAAGATCAGAGAGTTGAAGCAAGCACTCGAGAAACCCAATCTACCCGCCACCCCAATCCACCACAAACTTGAGTACTGAAAGTTTAAAATGAGCCCTGGTGCACATATTTCATGTTAAAAATCGATTTTCTTGCTGGAAGCCTGATCATTCACACAGATCTACACAGCCAGAGCTAAATGCCCGACCTTAGCTTATCCTAACTACAATATGGATAGATTTAAATGTATAGGTAAATGACTAATAACATACAAGCCTGAAAAGTCTCTCTGCTGTATGGATGCTCTTATCTGGCTGGTCAGATGATCTGATATTTTACCTTTTTCTATACAGCTAACCATTGTGCCTAGAGTAAAGAGCTAATCCTTGAAGATTCAGCTCTGAACTGAGCTCTGCGAAAGACCAAATCTAGTTACACTTATCATCTGGTAAAGCCTATTTTCTATTAAGTTTTGGAGTTAAGTTTTTAAGTCCAAGTCTTTATTAATGAAGATAAGTCAAAGCCCTTATTAATGAAGACAAAAGAGCCCTAGTTAAATAATCAAAATGAACAAAGAGCCAAAATTGAATTCTTCAAGTTATATTGGATTGGTCATTTCAACAAAAAAATATTATTTGGTTGAGTCTGAAAAGAGCCTAGGTCTTGAACAAGAAAGGCTTTATCTCTCGCTTTTATTCACATTCACGCCATATCAAATTTGCCACATCTAATCCTGAATCTGTCTTTCTGAAACTGTCTTTGATGAACGAAGGAAACCCCTTTGATTTGTTTTAGTGTTATCTTTGAGACGTTAGATAAATTTTTATGAACAAAATTCGTGAGGATGAATCATTGCATCTATCCATTCATGCTGCAATATTACCCAACATTTCGTGGGGAGTAGCTTTTCAAAGTTCGTGTATATTCTATGTTCGTGTATATTCGTGTATATTGTTTATATGGCAGAAGAATTCGAAAGAAAAGTGAACCTTAGCCTAGAGGCCTGGAGCGTACTGCCACATAAACGAAGGAAGCCCAAAATTGATTTCTAGTAATTCTCGGTGAAGGCTTGATAAAAGTTTATGTGAATCTGTCAAATTTGTAGCCGCTCGACATGGGGTTACTAATACTGCTCTAATCCTGATGCCGATGCATCAGTAAACAAAACTTGTCCACCTGTTGAGACGATTACCTCGAGATTTCGTGTCACTGGTTCATTTCGCATCATTTCGTCACCGGTCATTTCGCGTCAACGCTTGGCACACTCCGTCCATTCAGCTTTCTCTTCTTTGTTGGCTTGGACTGGTTTGTGAACGGGTGTCATCAGCCTCGAGTCGCCTCGAGTTGAGCCACTCTTTGTCAAATGAAACGCGTCTAAAACCTCGTCTAAAACCATGAAATGCGTAGAGATAACGTAACCAATAAAACGTTTACAATTTCTTAGTGTACAGCCACCGTTTAATAACGCTAACACTTGCAGTTGTGCTTTTTCAATCCGGCTTTGGGAAATTGATTCGTCTTGTAAATTCACTGTGAATCCTAGAAAATTTAGATGATGAGAGCACGGCATCAACAAGAAAAACAGCGCTGAAAATGTTGTTTTTTTAAATCCAATTTGGCGCACCCCGAAATGTGTCAAAAATTAAAGTACTGTTAAAAAGCAAATAAAGCTTATCGAGCTCGTTTTAGGCTTTCAGAATCACTATAACACTTCCAGTCTACGATAGAAAAGCTCGGAGTTATAGCTCTTCAAAAATAGAGAGAAATTCGCGAAATGATAATCTTTTGTCCGTTATTGTTCATATGGCAGAAGAATTCGAAAGAAAAGTTAACCTTAGCCTGGAGGCCTGGAGCATACTGCCTCATAAATGAAGGAAGCCCAAAATTGATTTCTAGTAGTTCTCGGTGAAGGCTTGATCTAAGTTTTTCTGATTCCGTCAAATTTGTAGCCGCTCGATATGCACCCCCAGGGGTGACTAATACCGCTTTAATGCTGATGCCAATGCATCAGTAAACAGAACTTGTCCACCCGTTAAGACGATTACCGAGATTTTGCTTCACCGGCTGCGTCAAACCCTTGGCACATTCTGTCCATTCAGCTTTCTCTTCTTTGTTGGCTTGGACTGGTTTGTGGACGGCCGTCATCGCAGCCTCGAGTTGAACCACTATTTATGAAGTGAAACACGTTGATCGAACTTCGTCTAAAACCACCAAATGCATAGAGATAACGTAACCAATAAAACGTTTACAATTCCTTAGTGTACAGTCACCGTTTAATAAGGCTTGCACTTGCATTTGTGCTTTCTCAATCCGGCTTTGAGAAACAGATATAAGTTCGCAGTGAATCCAAGAAAATCCAGCAACTGGTTCCCAAACACACTTCTCGATTGCAGGGGTGATTCCAACTCTATTCAGTGTCTCGAACTCTATTCAGGCCTCGAACTCTATTCAGTGTCTCGAACTCTATTCAGTGTCTCCAACACTATGCCTCTCATTCTCAATATCATTTTGTGGCTATCAGCAAAGACTAAACCATCATCTAGATAACGAAAAATCTGAACGATTTAGACCCTAAAGTGATTAGCTAGTGCACGAAACAGTTTCGTAAAAACCCACAGAGCTGGGATAGACCTAAAAGGAGAACAGTGAATTTGTAGTATTGGCCTTGCCAGGCAAGAGCCAAGGTAATTCTGTGAAGGCGAGTCAATGTTTTTCAATTCGCACTTAAACACGAAACTTAGCAAAGTTAAGTCTTAAAAGGTAGCAAACATTAGAGATTTCTATTCGTTTCGTTTCGATTTCCATTGCCATTACGTCGCTAAAGTTTTGTTTTCAGTTGAACGGGAGACACGAAACGAAACGCGAATGTGGCTTTTGTCCGGTTAGTAGAGAAATTTAGTTTCGAAACTGTTGAACTTGAGTCATTTCTTGAGTGGCTTTCTAATCTGTGATTTTGATATGTTTTAATGGCATTTTTATTGAGTTATGGTTACAACAGACACGGCCTGACAGACAGACAACAGACAGACAAAAAGAAGTAAAGAAGTAAGTTAAAAAGAAGAAGTAAAAAAGTAAACTCCCTCTGGAGTAACGGGAGATCATCTCTGATATTAGGTTGGCAACTTTTAAACTTCCGTTTTAGGTAACAACTTTCTTATTCTACAAAACTTTAATCCAAAAGATATTTGCGATTATTATCGATGATTTCTTCCCATCTTTGGCGCAAATCCCGGCTTTGAAAGTCGCACATAATATCTGCTTTTTTTTTGTTTTCTTTACTTTCTCTTTGTCTTCTTGAGTGTATACAAGTTCTGTCTGCTCTTTCTTTTTCTTTTTCTTTAAGGATTTTTGGGGTAAACACAGAGAGTGAACGCTTATCATCTCACTCAAACTTTTAAAAGGAAGGATCAAAAGGGGGAAATGAAATCATTTTAACAATACTTTTGCTTTTTAACAAAACAAAGAAAAAGCAAGCCAACGTTTTGACTAGCCAATGACTGGGAAAATGTTTTGATTGTCACAAAGTTATCACAGCCGATCGAGGTATTCTTTGTGTGACCGCGTAATCGCTTGACGTCTGACGCAGGGCTTTTCCATAAGAGGAGCTCTTGGTACCGGTTCTGTTTCGTCTCTTTCGGTCTAGGTCCAGGTCCAGGTCTCTTCCGGTCCAGGTTACACTGGCCATATCCGAATGGAGCTGACCATACCGCGATCACTTTGACCACTTTGACCACAAAGACCACTTTGACCATACCGCGTCGTCACCCATCGTAGATTTAAACCCAAATGAAACGTATCCGATCTAGCACACTCACACAACAATTTTACGGATTTGAGTGCTTTGCTTTGAGTGCGTCTGAAAGCAAAGCATGGCTAAGAGCTGGACTAGGTAAGAGACTTTAAGAGTAGGTAGTACTGCACGGATAAAACCCATAAGTACCCAACTCGTGAATATGTCAAAAGTATTCTGCTCACTTTTTCTGTCTGGGCGAGTCCTTTCCAACTCACTTGCACGATCTGTGACCAATCTGGGTGCAATCATTTCCAATCACTTTCAATTCCTTCCTTCATTTTATCTCCAAACTCGGCTAAATTTGGGTCGAAAACAAAGCCAATTTTAGCCTCTCTTTCCTTTTTTCAAGAAAGTTTGATATCAAAGCTACCGTCACAACCCTCTTCTTTCTCTCTTTCTTTTCTTTCTTTTTTATTCAGTTTGACGCCACAAATTCCCCTTCTACGTAAGTCTCGATTAGAAAAAGAACAAAATTGATTTATCTCTTCAAAAATTTCATTACAAAGGAATCTTTTCTCTTTTGTCTTTCCTATCTACAAATGTTTTTCAAAGAAAGCAAAGAACTGAAGAAGGGATTCAGAAAACATTTGATAAAAAAAAGAAAATTTAGCTCTGGCTGTGTGTATCGGTGTGATTTGATTGAGCTTCTAATAAGAAAGTCGCGCTATAAAATTAAATATGTACACCAGTAAAGGGTTTATTTTTACCAGTAAAGGCCAGCAGTAAACTTTCAGTACTCAAGTTTGAGGTGGCGGGTAGATTGTGTTTCTCGAATGCTCGCTTCAGCTCTCTGATATTCATTGTGGTGTTGGTCAGTCCAGTGGGTGCCACCTACTCGCTCGCTCAAAGCAAG